GGGTGAACTTGGGCAAGCCATAGTTCTGTCAGAGCTCTCTCAGCCCTGCCTACCTCACAGGGTGTTTGTTGTGGGGAGGGGAAGGGAAACGGATTGTAAACTGATCTGAGACTCTTTCAGGTAGTGAAGGGCAGGGTATAATTCCAGTCTCTTCTCTTCTTCTCTACCTGCTCATTTGCAAATATGAAAACTCGGCTTGGGTGGGCAAGCACCTGGGAAACAGTGTTGGTCCATAAATCATGTTCCCCCCCAAAGCTAACAGCATCCACTGGGAGACTGCCTCTCCCAAGGCCCTTCCCTATAACTCTGACGTCTGTCTCCTTCTCTGGCTGTATTCCAGTTCCTAACCATTTCACTCCAGCCCAGATCTGAGCTGTGTTCATCCTCTGAAGCCGTCAGCCCTAAAATCCCATTGATGTCGACCGAAGAAAGCATCCTCTAACCTGCGGTGCCCATTGTAAACATGTTAAACTATTAATGACGGAAGGGATTAGGAGAAAAGGTCATCTCCTCCCTTGACGATCATGACAACATTGTTTTTCTCGGGCCAAGGATATGGGACTGGGGGGGGGGAGTGCTGCTGGAGCACCCTTCCTGTTCTGAGCCCATGATAGAGGGCAGACTATTTCCTTTTTTATTTGCTTTACTGTATTTACATTATTTAGAATCTGCCTTCCTTACCGAGACTCAAGGTGGATTTCACAGTGTCAGTCAATGCAATCTAAAGATGCCATCCTCCAGGCGGGGCCTGGGGATCCCCTGGAATTCCAGCTCATCCCCGGACTACGGAGATCAGTTTCCCTGGAGAAAATGGATGCTTTGGAAGGTGGAATCTATGGCGCTCTGCCTCACTGAGGTCCCCGACCTTCCCCAGGCTCCATCCCCAAATCTCCAGGAGTTTCCCAACATGGATCTGATAACTCTACCCCCCTATCCCCTGGTGGCAACCTGGCAACCCTAAAATGTTCAGCTGGATGGAATATCCAATAAACCAGGGGTCCCCCAACCTTTTTGAATGTGTGGGCACCTTTGGAATTCTGACACAGTATGGCAGCCACCACCACAAAATGGCTGCCACAGGAGGTGGAGCCAGCCACAAAATGGCTGCTGCAGGGGGTGGAGCCAGCCACAAAATGGCTACTGCAGGAGGTGGAGCCTGCCAGAAAATTGCTGCCGCGGGAGGTGGAGCCAGCCACAAAATGGCTGCCACGTCTTACCTTCAGTCGGACAGTGGAAATCCTTCTGCTGTGGTGGCAGCGGCTGCTAAACCTACATTAAAAATAATAATCTGCACAGCCAATCAAATCTCCGATGGCCAGTCAGGAACCTTGCTGGGCAAAAGCCCCACACAGCCTTGTCCACTTTCTAGAAACACTTGGCAGGTTCCTGGAAAAAGTAGTAGTAGTGGTGGTGGTGGTGGTAGTAGTAGTAGTAGAAGAGGAGGAGGAGGAGGAGATTGGATTTATACCCCGCCACTCACTACCCAAAGGAGTCTCAGAGCAGCTTACAAGCTCCTTTCCCTTCCCCTCCCCACAACAGAAACCCTGTGAGGTAGGTGGGGCTGAGAGAGCTCTCTCGAGAACTGCCCTTGAGAGAACAGTTCTGAAAGAACTTATGACTGACCCAAGGTCACACCAGCAGCTGCATTTGGAGAAGTGGGAAATCAAACCCGGTTCTCCCAGATTAGGGAGGGGATGAGAACAGGTCACTTAACAGCTTTGAACAGCTGTCTCATCGTTTTCCCATTAACTGCCCGAACTGAGTGACCTCAGAACGTTTGAAAAACGGCTGCTCCTGTTGAATTATGACGCCGCTAGGTTAGCCAGAAAGGTGTTGCCGGGACCACGGCGCCCACTGATACCGCACTGAGAGCACCATAATAAACCATGCAATGGGGTTTGGACTGCAGATGTTTGAAAACAAGTAGAAATCTGATACAGAGCCGAAACCATGCTGAAACAAAGCAGGCGCGCTGGAACGTGACATGCTAAACAATGCAGAAATGACCTAGTAGGATCATACTTACAGCGACAGACAGTAAACCAGTGATGGCGAACCTTTTAGAGACCGAGTGCCCAAACTGCGACCCCAAACCCACTTATTTATCGCAAAGTGCCAAAACGGCAATTTAACCTGAATACTGAGGTTTTACTTTAGAAAAAACAACTCATACGTTAACTTAAGATGATCCAGACAAAGTAAGGAAAGCAATCCCAAATGCTTTCATTGACTTAAAATTATTTGGCAGAGAATTCGACACTTTAATGATGGTCTGGGCCTGGCTGGGGCGATGGCACGCATGCCCAAAGAGAGGGCTCTGAGTGCCACCTCTGGCACCCGTGCCATAGGTTCGCCACCACTGCAGTAAACAGTAGCATAGTCTACATTTAGAAAAAAGAATGGTAAAATGTTTGAACAAGGTGAAAAGTGTCCATGTAACGAGTTCTAGTAGCTTGTTGTGTACTCTCAATCTAACACATCCGGTCCCCTTCAGGTATGGTTTATAACGTTGCAGTCATGACTGGGGACGTCAGAGGGGCCGGGACCAACTCCAAGATCCACATTGTCATGCACGGCTCCAAAGGGCTGAAAAACAGCGGGAAGGTTTTCCTGGAGGGAGGCGAGTTCGAACGTGCCCGGACGGACCTCTTCAACATTGAGATTGCAGCTCTTCTCAGTCCCCTGAGCCGCGTCTCCATCGGACACGATAACTGCGGCGTCAGCTCCGGCTGGTATTGCGAGAAGGTGAGAACCGAGGTCACTTAACAGCATTGAACAGCTGTCCAATCGTTTTCCCATTAGCCGTCCCAACGGAGTGACCTCGGAACGTTTGGAAAACGCGGCTCTTATTTCAATTAGGAGGCCGCTCGGTTAGCCAGTCAATATGCGCATCCCACAAATCCAATTTCTCCTGATATATGCTGTGTCGCCCCAGCCACATGCAAAAGATCAGTGATGGGCCTGTTAAATGGATGGGTCCTCCGTGACTTTCCACGCTGTATAAAGGCACCCATTGAATTAAGCAGGAGGAACGCGATGGCCGTTCAAACCAGGGTTGTGTTGATTTTTACAGAGTAGCCACAGTGCGCCTCTGACAGTTGGGTCATGCTTTCCTCACACTTATGGGGGGTCATTAGGGCTATTTTTGGGCAGGAACGCACAGGAACGGAGTTCTGGCTGGCTTCAGAGATGTCCACGCCCACTACAGCCAAAACCTCTACATGTGTGGATACAGAGGGAAGGCCAGGAGAGCAACCCGCCAGCAACTCCAAGGCAGGTGGGCCAGGGGGCCCCTGGAAGGATCGGGGAGGCATTTAAATGCCTCCCCGTGCCTTCCCCAGCCTGTCCAAGGGCCGGCTTTCCTGGGCTCCCCGCAGTCACGTGGCACCCAGGCAGGCCAAGGGAAGGCATGGGGTGTGGCCTAATATGCTAATGAGTTTCTGTTGTTGGGTGTGGCCTGTTATGCTAATGAGTTCCTGCTGGGCTTTTTCTACAAAAAAAGCCCTGGGGGTCATGATTTAGTTCAGCCTGTAGGGA